CAGAGGTTTGACCGGCCGCCCCTACCCACTCAGGCTGAAGACCCTCAAAATATACAGTGGATGTTATCGGCGTATAAGGGGCGATCTCATAATGGTGTACCAGATCCTGAGAAACCCCAACCACCCATGCCATTCCCTTCTAATACTCAGTCAAAACACCACGCTAAGAGGTCACCAGTTTAACTTAGTCACGCAGTACAGCCGCCTGGAATGTCGGCGAAACTATTTCTCCCTTCGAGTGGCACAGCTTTGGAACGCCCTCCCGGAACATATAATTAATGCACCCACCATATCCCTTTCCAAAAAACGCCTTGATGATACCCTGTCACATTTACACTACGTGCTATAGCTCATGACCACCAGATGCTGACACTAATGCACAACAGACAGGGGATAGTGCCATAACTCTACTCGATTATGAGTTATTCCAAACGCCTTGCACGAAATTTGATAAACGCTATACTACAGAAACTGGATTTCTGTATCCTGTCGATCCAAGATAGTTGCACACGAGTAAGCGTTGTCTTTGCTATCTTTTTTATGTTTCTCGCCTATGATGTGAACAATAACCACTCCCCTGTTGCTTTGTGTGCGTACATTCTCATTTCAAACTCCCTTTATACGACAGTGCAGTTACATCTGTAAGCGCCCGAACTGAAGACTCCATTATCCCTTCTCTATCTTTTTTGTCACGCTATACACCCTGCGGGACATGTCAAGCACCTGCTTTTTTACCCGTTATAAATCATTGTTCATTGTTCATTGCTCTTCCCCGCGTCCATTACCAGCGGGATTAAACAATGATGTGCACTCGATACAGTAGTTTCCCTTCTTTGTGTCAGTGATATCAGTTCGTTTAACAAATATGGCATGCCGTATTTATTTGTAGATGACTTAACATTTGTCCTCAGGTACCGAGAAGTTGAGCTGACAAATGCACTACTACTCATTCAAGAATATATTCATTCGTTTTAGACTTGGTGCGACAGGTGGATGCTCATTAAATGAACAGCTATTAGACATTCATTTTTGTGAACGAGCTTAATGGCTATTCTTTATACTTTCTATTTTCTACTTCTTGGCTGTTGTTTAAACGCCCACTGTGTTAGCCCGATTGGCACACACGTCGTTGTTAGTAGACGCTCATCACCGTGTCCTCTTCAGCAGTGCCATATGCAAGAACAAATTCCATTGACTTTTGCGCATTACCTTTCTACTTGATTATTTTAAAGGAATATTCAGTTGTCACACTATTATTGTACTCGTTATAAATTTTTGGGTCTACATTTCCTCTTCTAGTTTGTTTCGTGACATTTGTTTAGACGCCACATTTCTTTATGCTGATTGGCGACTGCCCGTCACTGTAAATGGATGTTCGCTTTACGCTTGTGGTCCCATGACGCTATTTTTAAGAACATATGCGATTCGCTCTTGAACACACGATTGCTTGTTCGCCGTTACATTTGACGTTTTCCTTCTGTTGGTTGGCTCAAGTGTAGTTTAGTAGCTTCCCTACATTTTGCCTTCAAAACTATATAAGCAATTATGAGTTCATGTATACAAGTCTCTTCCTGGCTCGTCTTTGGACTACTTCTTGCGGTCGTAAGGTGGAGGCGTCAGTGGCGACACAACATTGCTGAAGTATTAAGCCCAACAGTCTAGTATCATATATTGCGGTCGCTTGACATCCGCAGTATCTATCAAACGTAACAGCGAACGCGTCTGTGTACAACAGTCTATCCGTGACCTTGGAATCAGGTATTCTTGTACCTTTATGTTCGTAGAACAGATTGAGTACCAGATAGCACGAGCCAGATAAACCTTCGCTAACATCTCTCATAACATACATATAATCACAGCTACAGTTGAACTAGTTAAAATCATTAACCGTCTTATACTGGAGTATAGCAGCATAATCAGGGGCAATATGAGGAAAACGGAGAGAACATCGATAGAAAGCCTTCAATGGTCGTTTACTAAGCACCTATTGGGAAAGAATTCTATCCAAAACTCTCGGGAGCGATGCCAGCAACTCCAGCTCGACCCGCATTGGCTGCGAGGACTAAAAGCTAACTTGATACTGCTGCACAATCTGATTCATGGCAATACCCATTGCAATCGATTCATCTTTAGCATTGTAACACAATTACACGCGAGGCCTAGGTAACAAAAACCTTACCCTGATTATACCACGAGGCAAGACCAATTTACGGTCTAACTTTCGTCTCACCATATACGCCTCTCTGTGGAATCGATTGCCATTCACCATCTGGTTGTGTGAGGCTGTACAATCCTTTCGCAGTAAGTTGGTAAGCTACCTCTACCTGGAGACCATTATGTCGTTTTATCATGAGGAAGATTATTTGGACATCCATTCAATGAAAGCCTAGACAATGTCTAATGGGTGTAATAGCACCAATTCACGCAATGTAATTAGTCCTCAATGTCTACAACATACTCAAACTGCAAATTTGCCTCCTACCATCGCATAGGACAAACATGTGGGGCCAATACCTTGTCAGTAATACAGACTAATATAAGAAGATAGCTTGATACCGCTCTTGCAAGAGCATGACATCACCTATTCGTGTATGTGCTGTGCCAACTGTTGTCACAGCTTTTCAATTGCTGAGAAATATGCCCATTATTATTATTCCTATTATTATTATTATTATTATTATTATTATTATTATTATTATTATTATTATCTTAATGTGGCATATCGTTTCGACCAGAAGCAATACTAACCTGGAGGTTAAATGTGCTAGTAGTAATGTGTACCCTGGACCGAGCACAAATGGTGCGCTCGACACGTTACAGACTGCTCGGACAATGGCTGAAAATGTGGTACAGGGACACCGGCTACCGGACGGGTCGGAATACGAACCTATGGTAAGTCTTTCCGACAAGAGATCTGTTAAAGTGTTGCTGAGGTGGAAGGTGCAAACACTTCATCCTAGGTTGACCAGCTACAGTCAAGCGTATGGTTGGTGACTTCTAGCACTGACACTCTCATCCCTGTCTGCCTTCCGTTAACAGCAATGTGCCAATCTACTCGGGAGCATACCTGTCCCCCATAGACGCATACATCTAGCCCTGTGCTTACATCCAGGGAGTCCCATTGGCTAATGTCCCATGACCAATGAGATTGTCACTGATAGTGCGTGCATGTAACCCCTCAGGGGGAGAATGAATTTAGCTCCACGTGAGCTTGTATTCACAACACATTATTGTGATTTTTGTAACATGCTAACTTATTAGCAATTTGCGTGAAGTTGCTTGTAAAAGATATAGATAAGTCGTATCTACGAAGCTCCACAATTCATCAGTGGATAGATCGAGACACAGTTATTTCAACAATCAAACGACTCTTAACAGGCGGATATCCTGTTGAAGGAGCAGCCGAATTGACTTCATTTATAGCACGCAAAATGTGCTGACCTTATTCGATTGTTATGTATTTTGGGGTTCCCGGTTGGTCCTTCCTAGCAAGGCTCGTGCACAGATTCTTCACGAGCTCTATGATACACATTCAGGTGTCTCGAGAATGAAAGTATTAGCGAAGGGATACTGGTTGTGGCCAAAGAGAGATTCAGATATCGAGAGCATGTTGAAGAATTGCGATACCTGTCAGGCACACCAGTGCAGTAGATCCTCGGGATCGTAGCGTCAGTCCGATAAGCCCTGGCAACGGATCCACGCCACTTAATGGAACCATACTTCTGTTACTCATCAACGCTCACCCCAAGTGGGTTGCAGTGTATTCCGTTACACAAGCGACGTGGCTTTCATCCTTCGCTACATTCGATACTCCAGCTACTTTGTGCATAGAGTTCAGCCGATTCGTCGATAACAACGGAATTCAGCATATAAAATCGGTGCCTTATCATCCTGCGTCAAAAGGGTTAGCATAGCGAGCAGTGCAGACAGTGGAGCCTGGACTGTTGAAACAGAGTGTAGGAACCCTACAAACAAAGCTGGATTGTCTAGTCTTTGCCTATGGTTTGACATCCACTGAGGGTGCGGTTAGTCTCCTGCAGAGCTGATGTCTAGCCGGTACCTCAGGACAAGGTTAAATTCACTGTTTATTAATCCACGGGTGGAGATGGAATTGCGATAAACAAAGAGGTCAATTTCTCCAGATGAGCTGAAGGATATGATTTTTTGGGGAAAATGACTTGGTCTACACTAAATTGCTGCCAAAAACACTGGCAACCTGGCACCTTAATTCGTACCTCGTGAAGCCCAAAAGACTTGCAACTTCCAGGCCGCCGTCTTATTCATCGGCATCCAGACCATCTTCATGCAAGGAGTTCAGCTATACCGTATACAAAGAACCAAGTACTGGGGCCGAACTGTGGGGACAGGCCTGCGGAATGCTACCGAGGCGAGCGACTTGCATTCATCTACCAGTGGATTATTTTCAGCCGGGACTGTGATGACATCTATTGGGCCAGGAATGTCGCATGCGCATTAAAGATCAAGCCCTAATTCACTGCGGTTGGACACCACCCCTATAGACAAGCACGCAGACGCCAAACTCATCGTCTCGCCAGTGGGTGAATGTCGAAATGTGTTGACAGTGCTTGATTAAACAGCGTTCTGTTAGGATGTGATTTCCGTATCATAGGTTTCTGGGGCCTACAGAGCATTTGCTCCGGTACTGTGAATACGACGTATTAGAAAGCTGCATTTGGAATCGAGGAAGAACTTTGCGTTCGGGTCCATTTAAGTACAACAAATCGTCACTCATCAGCAGTTGGAAATCGTCGAAAGTCATGCGTGTTCGATGGTAGTTGGTATGATAGTATGACTGATGCATTGGGATGATTCAGATCAAGGAGGCCCAGGCGCTTGTACTATTTCCTAGGCCCAGACACTCGACACAACAGATACCTCATCCTGGGTTATGCGCCCGTTCGAAAGCTCTCAGTATGGTTTCGGAAAGATTGGAAAACAGTTGGTTGGTACACTGGGTGGATGCAAGATGTGCAACTTACCTGGAATGCCTCAATAACATTAATCCAAGCCAATAGGGGTCCCTTATCGTCGGTCACCCCACGTCCACATAAATACCCGTCGCGGACTTGCAAATCGAACGGGTCGTGCAGCCATTGTTCAGCCTCGTACACTGGCTTGACATCTACGTGACCATAAATTAGAACTGTGTATTTGGTCACATCAGAACCGATTGAGGCGATGACGACGTCAGGCAGCTCCAGCTCATCAGTTTTCGTGAGCGGGATATGGTCTCCAGTGTAGATGGACTCCTTGCCTAGCTGTTTCATTCGGACATCTGCTCCAAGTCTGTCATGAAGTGTACAAACAACGATAACCAAATCCAAGCAACATAAAAATCATCTTATTATCATCAAACCATTCTGAGTAGGCTAACTACGTGGCGCCATAAATTGCACCTACAATCTCATGTGAAAGGAGTAAAAAGCGAGATTAGTTTTGTCATCTCTATACAGACTACGTCCTGATACGTACTGCGACAGTCTTGACGGCCAATCTCTTGCGTCTTCCCTATGAAGCGGTGCGTCGACGGAGGGTTCACTCGATCACCTTTGCACTAATGTATGCTGATTCAGTGATGACGGGTTTCGGAGTTGCCTGTCTCCGTGGTTGCCACAGGCCACACGATACTTCTTACTGCAGAACAGCCTGAAGTAACTTTTGACCTATCAACACATCTCACTTCGAACATGTTTGTCCTCGTAAATAATATCACAGGGAATTTCAGCAAGTAACTGCAGCTGTTAGGGAGTAGGCTCTTCCTCGACAGACAGACGTTATGCACAAGCTGATAAATGATAGTGTCAGTGTATTTGAGTCCTACAAAAGCCGGGATACTGAAGACAATGTGTCCGTTTTCAGAACCAACCCGCATTTCTGAATATCTTTCCATCAGCTGATACTTGTCCGCTAGTCACTCATTTATATCAAATTTGCTGAAATATGCTCACCAAACATACACAGAACAGGGACTCAGCTGTGGCTTATGACATGATGTAGTCATTCACGCGCATCACGGGCATCAAAATTCACATAGCTACGTCGATGCATCGCCGGCATTCTCCACTACCAGCGACCGGCTGCATTTGTGGAGCGACTGAGAATTTTACAGGGACAGCCGTTCCGGAGGACCATTGTTTTCACATTCAAAGTGGAAAAGTGCTTTGAAAGCGTTACATCTCTGATGACTCAAGAAATGACCTATTTCGTATTGATAAGACTAGTATTGCAGATTCAGGACATTTGACCGTCAACGATGCACATGTAAACCTAAGGTCCAATGGCAGCAACATCAGTTTGGCTGTGAAGTCGTTTCTGGTAGCAATGCTAATTGTAAGAGCTATGTTGCAACTAAATTAGTTGTCAGATTTACATGAATTCCGCCGGAAGAGCAGTAAACAGGAGGTTAAAACAGACGCTCGCCAACAGACGTAGAATTCAGCCACGACGGTGACTGCTGAAATGGTCTGACTGCAGACAACTTAAGCTACTGACGTAGAGTAAAAGCGAGCCCAATCATAGTGCTCAAAGGTATTGTGCATATGCGTAGGGTTCTTTTTATCACAAGTTCATCTGGTTTGTTTCGGAGTTCACTTGGCCGGTGCATCGGAAACCAAAGATAACGATACTATACAGTGTTGGCCAAATTATTATAAACTTAGTAAACTTTTCTAATATTTCCTCCTCTTTATACTAAAAAGAAAAAGCTTTTACTATAAATTGATTATATTTTCAAGAAAAAGAAATATTGATTAGAGATTCATCAAGATTAGTCTTTCGTACCTGATCTTTTGGCAATTTTCCAGGAGTCAGTACGCAAAGACATGGAGTGAATGAGGTTTCGCAATATTCTGTCACGCTCTCATTGCGTGCCCAGGTCGTTCTAATTTATTTGATGAGCTGTTGCTTATTTGTCATAATTTATTCTTCAGCTTTGACTTTAGAATGACCCATAAGTTCTTTATTGGATTCACTTCAGGCTATTCCCAGGCCATGGCAATACTACAATAACACAACCCTCAAGAAAAGGAGCAACCTCCCGCCGCTTGAGAGATGGAGCACTGACAGACGAGAAAATGAAGTCTCCTGTCCCTGGAAACCCGTTTTTCTCTACCGATTCGCAAAGCTGAGGGATCAGAGGATGCTTTAGTTGCGTTTTGTACTACTGCTGGTTCATTATACCCTGGACGATGTGGAGCCGACTAGTTCCGTAGACGCTCATAACATTTCATGTCAAGACCTGAGTAGGCTGCTTGACTCATTGCACAATACAGTCTTCCCTCATCTGTTCTCCAGGGAATCACCCGGACATATTGAGCTTGCTGGTCCGAGCACCGGGTAATACTCGCATCGCTGAAAACAACGTAATCATCACTGCACCCGTTGGATGCAGACAGAAAACACCTCAGCTGTTGTGACGCAATAAAAGATAAAAAAAATACAATAGAGGCACGCCGGCTGAGTCACCAGTACCAGATGGACATCGTTCCGGAGTGCTAACAGATGGTAATTTTGACACAAAAATAGAGTTATATTGAGCCTAATAAATGAGATCGTGATTGGAGGCGGAGACTAAACGAGAGGGGGAGGAACAAAGAAATGCACACCACAAACGCTATTGAGGTCGGCTCCTAGACACGTCAACAAGTGTATTCAGCCAAATGTGCTCATCGTCCTTCGGTCCCGAACCAGGGAGCCGTGAGGCTCCAACCGAGGCCGACTTCGAAGTAAGGGTCTTCGTTCCACTTGACCAAGTCATCGCATGGCTACTCTTCCTCTTTTTCCATCCGCACCCCCGAAACACAAACAACACACTTCACGGCAGCCGGTGGGCTGGCTTACGCAACATGTGGCCCAGCCATCGGAGCCTGATGTAGGAAATAACAGTGCTGAGCGGTTCGCTTCCTCTTCCTATGCCATAAACAAGATTTCGAACACGCTAATTGTTCACACGGTGTTCCCACCAGATATGAGCCGAACTGCGAAGGCACCGGTTAACGAACGTAACTAGCCTCTTTTTGTTGGCTGATCTAATGGGCCCGGTTTCACAAATCGTACAGTAGGATCGAACCTACCGCTGCTATGTACACTCAACCCTTCAGCCAGAGAGTGATATCGCACCGGCGCCATAGGTGGCGAAGGTTAGCGAAAGCCCATCGTGCTTTTGTGACCTCGTCTTCAATTTCCGTGGCGCTGCTACAACTGCTTATGTAGTGGAAATTTTGAATGACTTCTAGCTGATGCCCAACAAAGGTCAGCGCAGCAGGCGGTCCCTGCCAATCTTGGAGGAAGGGTTTGCACTTTGAGGGTGCAAAGCCCAGCCCAAACGGTTGACGGCCAGTGCCAATCTGCCCAGAGCCGCTTGTCACGTTCGTGAGCTGTCACAGATGAGAGCAATATCGTCAGCATACTCCAAGTCAAGAATTCGTTCACCTGGGAGCAACTCCACAGTTTCTAACCCGTGTTCTGTGAACTCCATTTCCACGACTTCGTCAATTGCACACTTGAAGAAGAAAGGTGACAGCGGGCATCCTTGTTTCACACCGCAGATATTGAAGAGCGGCGACAGCTTGCCGTAAGCCCTCACTCTGCCCGAGCAACGCGCATAATGTGCTCGCATAATCTTTACATACTTCACGGACACAGCTTTCCTCAGTAGACAGTGCTAAATGGCACATTGATTCACCGAGTCAAAGGCACTATTGATGTCGATGAACACGACAACGGTGTGCCACCAAGATATGTGACGGTGTTCCAACAACTGACTCAGATTGAATGCGTGGTCGATGCTTCCCAGACCTCGACGAAACCCGGTTTGCTTCTCATGAATTTGGCTTTCAAGATTGCCGGTCACTCTGTGAATGTTGACGAAGGCAAGCAAACTGGAGGCGATGGGAATCAGACTGATTCCTCCATGGCTGCCTGGCCAGCCTGACAACATCTTTTCCACGCAATTCTATGAATCTTTCCTCAAACAACTTCCTGATGCTCTGACCACCGCAGAGTATGATCAACGGTGCCTTATCTGCTGCATCGAGCAGGGTGGTTAGTCTTTTGGATGCAACTGCTAAGCCTTCTGTTTTTCTTATTCTTTCTCGTACGCCTTTTCCCCCTTATTGTCCTGTTCTGACCTCATTTTTATGCCGGCGTGTTCAACCCCCAAATCATTGGCCCTCCTTTCACCATGCTTTGCTAAGCGTTTGTTTTCTAATTTCAACTCACATGCAAACGCTGAGGGTCACTCTTGCCCTATCGACTAGCTCATGTCTAACCAAGTGGTCAAGCCCAGTTCATCGACTTCCATTTGGAGCCCCCGATTCTCCCTCAGATTGGCATGCCTCAACGTACCCACATTGTTACAGATCCGTCAACAGGCAGCACTTATTCGAACATTAGAGACACTCTCGATCGATATCTGCTGCCTATCGCAAAGCCGACTACAAGATCCGGGCTCTGTTCTCACTGCAATGCTTTCAGACGATAAAAGCAGTACTTTCTCATTGCGCCTATCCGGCGACGATGCAGCTTCGAGTATTGGTCAAGTCTTTGTTGATATTGCCATTAGTCCCCGGACTAAAGATGCTCTGGTTGATTGAATCCAAATCGGTAGCCGGATGTGTGCGGTCCGACTGGTTGGTTCATTCAAAGCTTCGTAGTCGTGCGGGAGTAATAGATGTCTGTTTGTCATCGCTGCCTATGCCCCCACAAACGGTAGCGAGGACTCCGTAAAAGACAACTACTATCGCCAAGTAAAGGAGCACCTCCGCCACAGAATGAGCACGAACACTATAGTATTTACTGGGGATCTGAACGATCAAGTTGAAAAAGTGTCCATTGATGAGCTCCATCTGGGCGGCCAACATGGTGTAGGCTCCCGTAATGATAACGGTGAGCGGTTACTTCATTTGTGTGAAAATGCTGACTTATTTCTTGCGAGTACTAAGTTCGGACATAGCACCCGTCGGAGGGTAACACGGCGCTCACCAGCCTCGATCCAGCCATGGACGCAGATCGATCACATCGCGACTAGGTATGGCTAGAGGCTGCGTCCAAAACCGTCGCCCGATTTGGAGCACATGTGTGAACACTGACCATGCCATTGTGTGCTGATCTGCGGGTGCGTTCTGGCAGTCGCCCTCGACGACCCTGTTAGCGGATAGACACCAACCAACTGGCGAAGCAAGGTGTTCTGAATGAGTATCGAAATGCGCTGCCGTTCGGGATGAGCAAGCGCTCACTAATTACAGTTGAAGGTCACTGGTCGTATGTTCACCAGACCTTACTAGCAG